GATTATGGTGGAATATTGCCACTGTGGGGGGCATGCATTGGCTTGAGGCGGCAGGCCTAGTGCCTTAGTGTGCCACCGGTGACGATAAACAGCCATATAATATTGCATTTATACAACAGTTTCGACAGCATAATCATGTAAATAAAAAAGAAAACAAAGACGTAGGGTCTCCTCGTTTGTAAGAGAACCTACTTTCTTCTGCCATTCTTTCACATCTGCACCTGACGTCAGAACAGCAGAAACCGTTGCTACTTCACAAACGTCACTTTAGAACTAGTATTTGAATGATTCTCTAGTGTAATATCTAAAATGATGACAAATCAGGTGATTCTGCTCTCGTTTTAAAATTATAAGGCTGAACGGCATAATATGGCATCAGTCTAGAGACATTTTCCTGCATTTATTTTGCAATCGGGAGATCACAATAATTCACTTTGAAAAAGCCAAAGCAAACACTACCAAATTACTATGGTATTAATGTAGCACTACACCATATACAGGAGTGGGACTAAGAAAGTCACTAACCAGTTTCATAATGATTTAATCAGCTATAGTTTTTCCCCCCCCAATGACTTAATTGGCTGTCTCTGTTGCCATCTGGCAGTCAATTGTCTTTTTTTTTAAAGAAATATTTTACAATTGGCCCTATCATTATAAATAAACTGCATAGTTGCAATCTAAATAACTACATTCTCCCCTAAAAAGCCTCAAAAGTATGTTATGTTTTCCAATAGCTGCAATATTTGCAAAACTATAGTGAGTTTGGTTAGATCTGCTTGTAACTCTGCAAGCAGAGTAATACACAAGGGTGAAGAGGCTGTATGAGTGCTGTTATTGAAAAATATTGCAAGGATATCAGATTTGAGATCTATAAAATAGAAAAAAAATAATTAAATAAAATATATTATATATTTTGTGCGCGTGCGTGCGTGCGTGTGTGTGTATAATATTTTTACCACATTTTTAATGCAATTCTGTAATCAGTTTTTAAATTAAGTTATTATTATTCAGTGTTTTATTATAATAAAAAAGCTTCATAGCTCATAGCCTCACATGACTTATCCAGTTACTGATGTCATTGACTCGGTCACCGTTTCTGACATAAAAGTCATAAATCACACGGATGTCAACGAAGGACACTGAAGCGTCTCATTCTCTCTAAGCCATTAAGAAATGAAGACTCTCTCTCTCTCCGTCCTCTTCTCTCAGACATGGCCTTGATTCATTCACAATGAAATAACTGCCTCTTCTCTTCACAGACTTGTGTTTAAGTGACGCTTCAGTACATCATCTCTATGTCCTGCTCATCTCTGTTGTGGCATGCTGTTGTGTATTTGTCCACGTTTGTGTTTGGGCCAGTGGTGCCTGGCTCCATGCATGTGTGTCTCTTACATTGTGTTTGTCTTTGTCTTGTCATTTGTTGTCTTTTCACAGTGGATTTTGCATTGAAGTAATGAGCGCTTTAACTGTGCTTGTTGCCTCAAATATGGGCGTTCCTATAAGCTCCACCCACTGCAAGGTATTGGTCCAGTAGTGACGCTTTGGTAGAGCTAAACTCCGCCCTGTAGCTTAATTAGCTTTATCATTAAACAACCAATCAGCACTCACCTTCTGCAAACATGACTCTCGCCATGATTGCAGCTTTGATTCTTTTGTTTCTTTGATTCATTTTTGCTCATCTGCTTAGTGGTTTTTAGAGCTGGGTGATTTGGGTAAAATATATATTTTTTCTTTCTCTCTGAACAGTTGACTAAATTAGAATATTTTTTTAAGCACAGATGAAGAGGTGCAGAAAAAAATGCTTGAAATAGGAAGGAAAATTTCTTGCATACAGTAGTCAAAATTGTAAGTGGATCAAAAAAAAATTTTTTCAAAATTGTCTTAAGACAAGAATGAGTGATCCACTGCAAATGAGGACTACTTTATTCCAATATATATGGCAATGTAATATAACGTAATGTGTATTTATTTAGCGCATTTATCGTGTATGGCCATACACCCAAAACGCTTAACAATCATTGGGGGGTGGTCTCTCCACACTTAACATCCACCAGTGTGCAGCATCCACTTGGCTGATGTGACTGCAGCCATAGAACAACGGCACCAGTGTGCTCATTACATAGCTATTGGAGTGGAGAGACCATGATAGTGCCAATTTGGTGGATGGGGATGATTGGTAGGCCATGATTGGTAAGGGTCGATGGAGGGTGTTTGTCCAGGACACTGGGGTTACACCCCTACTTTTAAGAAGTGCCTTGGGATTTTTAATGACCACAGAGAGTCAGAACCTCAGTTTAACGTCTCATCTAAAAGACAAATTTAACACCAAACATTTAGTCACAAATAAGCTTAGCTAATAGCTTTGATCAGTAATTTTAGCAGTCAAACAATTAATCGTCATTAATTGCACCCAAAATGTTTGTATTTGCTTTATGTATGCAGTGTACTGTATAATAAATTGTATAGAATATGTAAATACAGACCCATAAATGCATGTGTG